TTGAGTGCTGAACTTGGATGGGTGTTTTCTGGAGCTTTCGGCCTAAAAATGGAAACAAGTGGAAGCCTAGGAAGCATAAATTTTATTTTTATATAGAATCAAATGAGCGACCAATTAAAGTGGGCTTTGATAATTCCATGACACAGGGGTCAAATGATTTGCAAAAGCCAAGTCTTAAGTTGAGGCTGTCGAAGTTGCCCCATTGCCGAATTTGCCCCAACCTAACCTATATTTTTTAATCTTATTTTTTTCCTTTTAAAAACATTGGTTACATTTTTACTATCACTCCTGCATGCAGATACACACTATTTTTAGGGGCCAAATTAGTGTAATTTTGTCTTCTGAACACCACTAAAACCATTACAAGTCCATGTTTTTTTCAAGAAATTCTCAAACCTGTTGGAAGCCCAAGCAGAATGATTTTTTAAAACTCATTTACTTGCTCACAGCCTCATCTGGAAGGACACTTCCCTTAAAAAATGATCGTACTTTCTTTGTCCTGTGGATAAAATTGTGCTATTCTGGCAAAGTAATCCAACGAACAAGCGATACAGGAGCCCATGAACAATCCCACCACACATTGTAATAGTACTGTGCAATTATTTCATAGATTTAAAAACTAATAATACATTGTGATGGATGTTAAGTTGAAATTGGTGTAAAACGGTTAAAAATGAACAGTTAAACTAAAGTGTTATACAATACCTTAGTGTGAGGTGGGAGTTATCGTAAAGTAATAATAACATTGTACTGGAGATTGTTTTGCTTGATGTCTGTTCCAGATAACTATTGATTTATCTTCTCTTTGGTTTAGAACAATGTAGACTGTTGTATGATCGACACTGCAATGTAACATACATGCGCCATGATGAAATGGAGAGAAATGATTCTACATCAAGAGTCGCTTAATCCACTGTGTTTGTTCGGTGTATACTACTTAAAAACTGTTGGGAACCATTATAAGGTATAACTCTTTCATTGCCGCCCATTGTCCCATTTTTGGGAATGTTCTTTCAATAATTATAATTGTTGACTAGTTCATTTGATTTTTATGTACAGAATGAATGAAAATATATTGTCTGGCTTTAATTCTTATTATGTCATTTTGATGGTATGCTCAAGTTCTTTCCTAACCACAATGTTCCAATTTAGTCTGACTGGAATGAGCAAGTTTAGTTTAGATGACTTAGATGGCAACAGGGTGGGGAGTATATTGAAGGGCTTCGAGCACTAGATTTCACAAAAAGGTACTGTAGTTGGTGGACCCATGACTTTTAAACCAAACCTTTTCTCAAGGTAGATCAGTGGATATTTTCAACAGCAAGTGGCTTTATTGTTGTGTCTAACATTTTGGTGACTTGCTGAAAAAATTTTAAGCAGTGATAGTGACATTCTTTTCAGTCCTTTTGTTTGTGTCGATTGGGGGCATAAAAAACAAGAATTTAGATAAATGTTTAACAACCTTTTGTGAGGTTGGATGACTCATTAATTTTACTGCTACAGTTCATAGTGCTTACTAAAAACGTTTGCAATGTCTTCGTAATACTACATGCTGAAATGTCTAGACTGGTCTATATAATGTCATTTTGCTGTTCTCGATTCAGTCTCAGTCACTGCTCTTGCTGTAGCCAACGTTTCATCAGCCATTAACTTCAGCATGACTCCTGTAACTCCAGCGAGGTGATTCAGTTCTTGTTCTCTAATGGTTGAGCTGAATTCTGTTGATTTGGGCAAATGAAAACTTTTAATTGGCAGGAATGTCTTCTCTTGAAAATCAACTTTTGAATAACCCATATATAGTTATTTCAAATACAAAGTTATTTTCTTTCAGATGATTCTTCTGTAGGTTGCCCCAAAAACTATGACAGTGGTTTGTCATGTTCACACTTACTTCCCACAAGGCAAGGTTAAAGAAATGAATTTTGGTTAGCATAAGTACGCTGATTGTTTTATAATTTGCATAATTGTATTGTTGTGCCTGAAGTTTTCTGCACAGGTTTTTTTTAAAGAAAAGAAACTTCCTATGTTTTTCTTTCAGCAGCATTGTCAGTGCACTACAAATACTGCAACAGATCTCTTTTTCAAAGATAGCACAGTTTATTTGATTTTTATGACAGAAAATTATGTTGTAAGGTCAACGAGAACTTCTGAATTGGCCAAGATTTACTTTAGTCTTGACATTTTGGTGATATCCTGATTCTTATGTGTGTGTTACATTCTTATAATCTTGTCAATTTAATTTCATATGTTGGTGACATAGTGGATGACGTGTAAAAAATGTTTTAAATGAGGTTAATATTACCAAATAAGCATTTTTAAAGCGTTTTCTTAGTCTTGTCAGGTCCATGATCATTAAAAAATTGCGCCAAGAAATTAAAAACAATCTGTACAGTTGTGAGTTGAGACACGTAGGCCCACTGTTAAATTTACCCAGAATGCGGAATTGTGGCGACTTCAGAGAATTGACTTTTCGGAACAAATGAAACATGTACCTGTGACGATATTGGTGCAAGCATGAGAAATGTATTAATGGCTTTGGCTTGTATTGATCGGGAAAGAAGATGAGGTGGTGCAAGGCTGAGTCAGAGAGAGAGCCGACCAGGTAATTGTTGCATGCGCTCCTCTCAAATCTATGGAAACGCGTACTGTGTTCTCTCTCTCTCTCTCTCTCTCTCTCTCTCTCTCTCTCTCTCTCTCTCTCTCTCTCTCTCTCTCTTGTCAAACACTCTCTCTCTCTCTCTCTCTCTCTCTCTCTCTCTCTCCCCCTCTCCCCCGTCTCTATTTCTTTGTCCGCCCCATCTCTCTCTCTCTCTCTCTCTCTCTCTCTCTCTCTCTCTCTCTCTCTCCCCCCCTCTCCCCCGTCTCTATTTCTTTGTCCGCCCCATCTCTCTCTCTCCCTCTCTCCCCCTCTCTCTCTCTCTCTCTCTCTCTCTCTCTCTCTCTCTCTCCACCCCCCCCCCCCCCTAACTCACGGCGCAGCACGGGTTTATGTGTTCTCCACGTCTTGTCTGGGTCGAATGTGCCACTGATTTACCAGGCTTACTTAAAAAAAAAAAAACTCGTTATTTCCTTTTTTGCGGTCTTGTCTGTGATCTAGCTTTTTTTTCCTCCTTCAGCGGTGAATGAACACTGTTACTGTTATAACAATAATATTTTGTCGCTGTCGTTTGCTTTAAAAAAATTGTTAGCTCGAGCAAGTAGACTTGTTCTCTCTCACGTCAAAGGTTGGTGGGTGGTTGGCGGGTGCTCTTGTGTGGTGTGCTACTTCTTTCCTATCAAACACCCGTCGTCCTTATCTCCCCCCCTTCTTTTTTGTGTTTGTTATTCTCTTGTAACACTTTTAATCTTCTACACTTATAATCTGACCTTATCGTGTTGCAAATGCCGTAAACCTCTCACTAAAACGGAACTTTCCGCGGTGTGCCAGTATTTTCGGCCAGTATTATGCCTGACTGCATCACGGTCGACCCTGGTGTTTGTTTGTGTTTCGTGACTAGTCTATTCAGCCCCTACACTGCAAAAGATGCTCGGTCCTATCCGAGGATACCGGAACTAAACCGGATTTATTTTGGTAGCCTCGGTCCTATCGTACATTTCGAATCTTCAACTTCGCTTGAGATTTCATAGCTGCTCGCCTACCGTTACTTGACCAGTCTTATGGAAGATCGCGCGGTTGCACAGGAGGTCCTGTCTCCCCGACTTGGATTCCCGCGTTAACCCTGTATGACTTTATGGACGTTCATTCTGATCATTCAACAACGCTTGAAGATGCACTGTTTGGGGGCACTTATAATTTTAAAAAAAAAGTATAAGTTCGTTATTGATACAGATTTTCCAATTGTGTTCTTTATCTGAAACTTTAAAAGGCAGGCAACAATATGATTCATACTATGAACTACATGTATGCAGATTCGTGTTTTTAATTTCAAGTATGCGGCAACATTGCCTTTGGTCTACTGCTGCTAATCGGACGTGTGTGTGTGTGTGTGTGTGTGACGTGTTTTTTTTTAAGTTGAAGGGGGGAGAAAAATGTATTGTACCTTTCTCACTCCTCCACTGTTTTTCCTTCCGTCGCATTTTAAAATCACATTTGTACCGTAATTTAGAAACATTTTTCTATTATGATTTTATGTCTAAAGAGATTGTACCGAACTGAGGCCACCCCTCCCCTCTACACACACACACACACACACACACACACACACACACACACACACACACACACACACACACACACACACGTACTCAAAAAGGGGGGGGGTGTACCCAACACGTACGGACAACAAAACATTCTACCGGAGAGAAAGTACCCCTCGTGCCCCCTTCATTTATTTTGCAAGTGGTGGTACATAGTGATGGTGTGACAGTTCATCCTAGCAGTATGATGAGTCACACTGACAACTCCCGGGGAATCGATACATCTCTCCAGCCTATGAATGAACTGTTCCTCGGGCTTTTTTTTTTTGGTGGTTCCTTATTCTTTCTTTAATGTGTTGTTCGATTGGGGGGGGGGGGGGGGGTCTATGAACACTAAAGGTATGACGTGCCCTGTTTCCATCGAATACGTTATTTTGTGATGACGACTTCATCCACTCTATGTGGAGTGAGCCGGGTTGTAATATGCGTTGGGCACGAGCATTAGTCATGCCTTATCTGATCAATACACAAGCAAGACAGTTATGCGCATGTTTCTGCTTACACTGCTTTGCTCGGGACTCGAGGCCACGTTGTCTTGCTCTGTTCTGACGTTCACGGTCCCTGTATGGGTATGTCTTCTTGTTGCGTGTGTTGGCTTCTGGTCACTTCTTAGTTCCTGTGTGGCCAGTGAGTTTGGATGCAGATGTCTGCCCCGAGAGCGGGAGGGGGGGGGGAGGGAGGGAGAGAGAGAGAGAGAGAGTCCGGGGTGGGTGTGGGGTGAGAGTGCTGCTCGGGCACGGCCAAGGGTGTTTTTTCCCCCCCCACCAGTATTGATTTATTTATCACACAACCAGCTCTCTTGCCAGCGGGTTGTGTCTGTCTGGTGCCGGCTAGTCTCTTGGAAGGTCCCGTGTGTTTCTTACGTTCGGCATCAATACGGGTATGGTATGGGTAAGAGTGTTGAACCATACCACATGTGACTTCTGATTTTCATTTGCTGATTCGGTTCTTCGTGTTTTCTTTCACATCACTAGGTTTGTATGCATATTATTTGTTTGATGCTATTTGCTTGTTTCATGCAAGGTTGTAGGCTACTAAAGAGTTGCTGAATATTTTATGAAGAGGAAGTTGATCAGTCGTGTGTGCGTGGAGGGCAAAATGATTCGTTTTACGGTCTGCTCTTTTCCTTTGTCTTTGGATTTATATCCCCCCCCCCTTTTTTTTTTAAATTGTATTTCTTTTTGCGTCGTTTGTAAACTGATGCCGTATGTCAGTATGACTCAAATTCTGAAATGTCCCCATGAACTATTTCAGTTCAGTAGCTTTTGCTTAAATGTTGCAAACAGGACATGAATGCTGAAAGAGCAGTGACGTCGAGAGCCAAATCTGTCTCTGATGGTTTTCAGCATCCACTGTGGGGAGGGAGGGAGAGAGAGAGAGACAGAGAGAGAGAGACAGAGAGAGAGAGACAGAGAGAGAGAGAGAGAGAGACGCTCCCAGTGCTTGTGTCCATCCTCTGTTCCCTCCCCCCAATCCCCTGCACACGCCATGTGGATCAATAAATGCTCCCGTAGCCAGTGTGTGCCTGGAAATAGCGTGCCAGTATTGATTGGCTGATGATTTCATGCTGTAAGGCTTGTCTGGCTTCATGTTGAACTCGTGGGAGGGTCACACACCCCGGCCGGCTCCCCTGTCTTGTATCCGCACCGACCAGAGTGTTCCGTGTCTCCTTCTCACCAGAATCTTCTCTCCTTGTAGGTAACTTGCTGCCGAGTTCATTTTTGTGTAAATTTCGTCTTCCCTCAGATTTTCAGAAAGTATTCAGCATCCAAGCAAGAGTCTTAATAATGTATGACACAGTCTGATGACTAGCCTGTCTGAGTCATCGATATCTTAGGCAATTGTCCAATGTTCAAAGCATAGTCTAGTTGGGCATTATAGACGTATGTGCCTCAGTATAATTTTTATTTTTTCCTGTTTTATTTTCCAGGCTCTTTTTTACGAAGTGAAAGAAATTAACACGAATATATAAGGCAGAATGTCGACTGGTAAGTTCCTTTTCTTTTTGTTTAATGTTAAGAAATTGGTCATTATGGCTTTTAAAAAACTAAAGCAGACATGTATTATTATTTTTTTACGTTTACGTTGTTGGTATCTTGTTGGTCTGTGGTGAGGATGACATGGGTTTAAATTACCTATGGGATCTTCTTGAACTTGGGTTGTCATGGAGTTTTGAAGGCTCTCTCCTCCAAGTTTTCTTTGCTCTGTTGGAGATAGGTGTTTAATTTTGAGGCCATGTCCCTTACGGTGTTTCAGAGGGTCAGGGGCTGTACCCTAACCATACTATGAAACCATGTTTACGTTATTATTTATAGGTGTTTGTGGAGGTCATGGCAACTATGACCGTGATGAGATAAACTTTATAAGCTACTACTACTACTACACGCACATTCCTTATTCCCATATTTCTTTCCTTACAGAGTCATGCCTGGGGTAAAAAATAGTTATTTAAAACAAATATTTTAAGCTTGTGGGATGTTGTTGCTGTCGAGGGCAAAAGTGATGAATTGCAAATTTTTTTATTGCCCTCTATTGCAGGGTCAATTGTGGTTTGGCATTTTTCTTTCGACAGCAGTGATATGTCAGTGCTAGGATGCTCAAGTTTGCTCTGATATGATGCTGTTGCTTTGCTATTTTCGCATACTTACCACACTTTGTACTTGCATTTGTCTGAGCAATGAAAGCATTCAAAGCATGGTATAATGGCCTTTACTTCAAGAACTGAAATTGACTTGACATGCATGTAGATTTTTTGGTTGGAAATACGTTCCCTTTAATGTGGAAGGGGTAGGAGAATCTCAGTCTTTAGAAACCATAAATTTTGTAAATTGTATAATAATGTAGATCCTTTTTATAGTGCTTATTCCCATGTGTAGACAGGTGAAAGCTCAAAATGAGTCCAGATTCCTGGCTTTTAAAGAAGTACATTCTTTTGTGGGCACACAAATAAGTGAACTTTGCTGCTGAATTTTTATATTTTCGTGAAATGATTTTAAAAAATTGTGAATGACTGGTACCTCATAGTTAGAATAGGGAAGTTTTAATGCCTCTTTCTCAGTACTTTTTCTTTTTTTCTGATCATCAGGATATATAATCTCGGGCACAACTTTTACTTATATTTATGAAATACTTGTCTTATTCAAGATTACTGAGAGAGCATTCCAGTGCTAACAGTCACATAAGTTCTAACTACATTTTGTTTTATATGCTGTAAGACACGACTGTCAAAAAGCAAGCATAAAAATCTGATAAATTTCTGTCTTCTGACTAATTTGTCATAATTTTTCTATTTTGCTCTTCCCCAAAAATTAATATTTTAATTTATATTTTAAAAAGTGACAAAATTTTCCCAAAGAAAGTTTTTCCCTCCCACTAAAGATGTATTTTCTAATGGAGTACAGAATGTTCATGAAATAATTCATAGTTCACATCCACGTCATTGTAATGAATTGTGAGCAGTTTAGCTACCCCGCTATTTCCTTTACTGGGAAACCAACGACTTTGTCTTGGTTCATGCACTAATGCTTTTTTATGTTTGGAATATTTTCTCTTTGCTGCTTGTTGGGAATGTAAGTATGTAACTGGTTCAGTTTTATGTGCATGAGAGAAACACAAAAGAAGAAAGCTGTACATCACCGCATACACCCAAACAGACAAGCATATGATGCTATTGTTGTTTGGAAAGGAAAAGGTAAAATGCTTGCTTATAAATATTGTTAAATGATCACAAATCTATGCTAATAGTGTGATTGACATTTACTTCTATACTATCGCTCTTTTGTTTGTCTGTCTTGCTTTTCCCAGCACTAAATGACCATTATTGGGTCAGTACATGCTTCTCTCACAGTTGAATTCTTCATATGTGCTTGTCATATTCCCTTAACCATTGAAGTATAAGAACTGGCTTTTTAGACTTGTTTGCAGTCTACCCATAATAGTCATTTATAAGAATAAGTATTTACTAAAACAAAATTTAATGATAAAAATTAGTTTGTGAATTAGCAGTACAAAATTTGAGCTTTCCATGTTATATTATTAGATTTCTGGAATACCAAAAGTATGCAACTGTTCATAACTAGATTATGGTCTACTTGTGCCCAAGTTACATGAAATGGTAGAAATGTGGAAAAAAAATTACCAACAGTAACGTTAGACAGGAATGAAGTTGGAGGTTTGTGTTCAGTAAACTTAAATGATAACAGCACTCGTATCAGAATCTCTTTGGAGATTTTAAACTTTATGATATCCTAAAGATGTTAAGTTTTATAAATTGCTTTATCTGAATTTCTGCCGTTTCCTTTTTTGTTTTAGAGATCAAACCACTATGACGTGTGTTTTCTTGTTGAACAATGGAATGGCCGTATGCTGTGTTCATGTAAATTCCATAAGTATGTGATTTATATATTTTTTTCATTGACGTGATACACTGATACAATTTTATTCCTTGATGTTCAGTTTTAATGCTGTAGCTTCTCAGTGTTAATGCTGTAAGTCATGTTTGGAGGATCATTTTCTAATGCTGTTACAACAGAGAGCCAGAAACCAAAGCATGGCAGTATCAGCTTCGATGTTATCTTGAAGCCTGCGACGAGCCCTCCGACACCCAAGCCAAACTCCCCCATCAGTGTGAAGAAACGTGAACTTTCACAAGAACAGATAGAGAACAAATTGAAGAAAGCAGAGGAACGAAGAAGTGTGAGTGTGCTCGTTTTATTTTAAATGTTTTGTTTCTACTTGAGACACTTGTTGAGATGATGGATTATTTTAGATGAATTATTATTCATATTTAGTCTTTGGGTATTGATTTTCTGTGAAGAATAACATATTTTGTCATGAATGTTGTTTCCAAGAGTGCTTGGTAAAAGCCTTGGAATCATTCACTCACAACAGTTTGAGATACATATCGTTGGTATACTGTTAAAACATTCTGAGCCGGGAATGCAAGGTTTTTCAGAAATATTTCTTTTATTGACAAGTAGTTTCTTTAGCTCAGGGCATGTTTTTCTTTGTTTAAATGTAATGTTAGAACTTTGTTAGTGTGGCTGGTTAGCTTTTCAAATTCAGTGAAATGATAAGAGGTAAATGATACTTTCTTGTAAATCTACAAGGGCTGTCATCTTCAGCCATCTTATACGGGCTTTCACCATGAGTTGAGTTGCGGAGTACTCGAGTGCCAACATTGAAATCAACCTCATGTTTTCTGTAAACAGATATGAGCCTTTGGTCCAATCACTTGCTCCTCTCACATGATCAAATATCTGATTGTCTGGTAAAAGCTGGCCTATTCAGAGCCATTCTCTTCCCCACCTTACGCAGCATTGAGACTGGTTCTCTTTCATGGTTTCATAACATCAATGCTTAATAAATTGTAAAAAAAAAATTCTGAAGCTTCTGGTACTCATTTGCACCCCAACAATGCAAACTACTAGGACATGTAATGTACACACATATACAGTTGGGGACAGATAACAGGTTCACAGAAAACTCAACATCACACATAGTTCTTTTCTTACAATATGCCTTTCGCCAAATGAACCGCTTTATTTTCTTTGCATTGGCAACAGTTTTCTTCGAAGTCTTTACGGATATGTCGGACAACTGATCTCGAAAATTCGAGTGAATTTTTCCTCAGAATTGTCTCAAATTCAAATCAACCTGTGGGTAAAAAGCAAAACAACACACCCATCATCATCAAGAGTATCGGGTCACATGAGCCCACCAGGCTCGCCCCGCACAGCCTGATTTTGTGTTTGTTACTCTCTTGTAACACCTCTAATCTTCGGTACTTTATAATGACCTTATTGTGTTGCAAGTGCTGTAAAACACTAAGACTTACTGAAACTAAAGATGGCAGTTTACTCAAATTATGGATGTGTTGAAATTATTTGTCTATCCTCAACCTTTTTTTTTTGTTGTCTTGTTTTTTGTTTGTTGTTTAAATAGCTAACTTCTAGCCATGTCGGCATCTAAGAAAATGAGTAGGTCAGTCTTTTGGTGAAAGAATCCTTGTCCCTTCTGTTTGGGTCAATGGAGAACACCCTCCCACAGACAGACTTCAATATCTACACCTCCAGACTGTGGGAGAAACTCTGGAATGAACAACTGAACAACAAACTCTACAGTGTTATTCCCATATTAGGCAACTGAAAACCTTCGGTTCTCTCCAGAGGAGATGGGAGTTGCTTAACCCAAATTACATGTTGGACATATCTCCCTAACATTAACATGTAAATACCTTCAGCAGGGAGTTGAGAAACTCATTTGTATTGGTTGCGATACAGTTTTTACCATAAAACACATACTGATAGAATGTCTAGACTTGAGAAACCCGAAGAAATTTTTAATAAAATAATGTTCAAATTTACTGAATTTGTTCTGCATCGTTGATCCCAACAGAATTTTCAGTTTTACAAAGATCTAACTGTAAATAGCTGTTTTTAATACTGCATCAGGGAATAAAAAAGAATAGCCAACAGGAAAGAGCCAAGCTGTGCCCCTAGAAGTCCGCCTCAAGGCCTGCTTTTTTGTCTCCCGTTCTCCGGGTTTTTAGGTTATCCAGATTAGATGGTGCCCAACAGTGTTACGATGTAGTGGATTGATATTTTTTCTCCTTTCTTTTTGTGTTGTTTTGTGTAGATGATAGAAGCGGAGCGCCTGGAACAGATCGCCAGAGAACGTCAGAAGGCTATTGAGGTCATGAACAAGGCTCAGTGTGAGAGTGAACTGTTTTCTTTGAAGACCAAGGAAAAGTTGCGTCGCTCCATGGAAATCAGACGAGAGAACCGGGAGACTCAGATCAGGGCTCTGCAGGATCGGCTTCGGGAGCATGTGAGTAGCTGTGTGCTTTTGGGATAGGTAGAGGTACTGGCTCATGGTATCTTGAAATTTTCTCTTGAAAAGTTTAAGAGCAGAAGCACTATATGCAGCCACATGTGACAGTTTTGCCTCTAAAAGTCATATCACTTATCATAGCCAATTTTTGTTTCTTCCTGGCATAATGCGGATATTGAAATATTGAGTGAAGACCAGTTTACAATTGCCAATGGGAATTGTTGAATTTCAGATCATTGTATAGAGACTGAAGGATCCCCCGTGTGATCAGGAGACCTCCAAGTGGCAACACAGGTTCAGTTCATGTTGCCACATCGTGGATCTCAGTGCCATTGCGACCATCATTGCATTCGCTATTTTTAAGATTGAAGGGTGATTCTAGAATAAATCTATCCGACTTTCTCTCTTTAAAAAATTTCTCAGTTACTTTCAAATTTAGATGCACATACAATGTCATTTATTTACCTGGCTACATATTGTGCTTTTACTCTGATAATTTTGTTGTCTCATGGGATTAATGAAGCAGTTACTTCTTTTTTTTTGTGTTCCTTTTTGGCTAGTTGGGATTGTCAAATACACATATGTTAGCAGACCTGCTACTCATCCCGATTTTTTGCCCCTAAATCTCAGGCATCCCGATTTTCCAAATCTCGCTCGCGTTTATCCCGATTTTTTGCTTCCGTCTGTTGCGCCGGATTTTTCTATAGACTTACCATGCCTTCTTTTCTGTCGCGGGAAGCACCCAGGAACTTGGAGCACTATTTTCTGAAATATCAATACCAGATTTATTTGTTCGCTCGCCCCAAGTTGTGTTGGAATGTTGCTCGCTCATGTTATTTCAGCTATAATGGAAGTAGTATCAATTTGGCATTAGGACTTGGGACATTTGTAATATCTGCTTTAGTTTTTGTTTCCACCCAGAATTCTCCTATGATGGCCTGATAACTGTTTCAGTTGCAACATACAAAGTATTATTTGTAGTTGTGCTGTTAATTTCAAAACAAGCTTTGTCAGAGCTCTCATTAGTTGGGCTCGTCATCAAGACGTGACAGTAAAACTGTTTCAATTGCGCGTTCGCATCACATGACATGACTTCGGTGTGTCAGGGACCATCCGTTGACAGGGTCAATTCAAGTTCATGCACACTGGTTGAAGCGTCTTTCGGGACTAATTGGGGGGATGTATGTTAGACACTTGGACTGGGAGTGCTTGACGTGATACTTCAGGATTTTAAAAAATAACACACGCTACGTATACATGGATATATTTTATGGATTTGGTCGGCTTGGCAGTTAACCTGGTGATTTGTCTTTGATCCCGATTTTTTTCCTTCTGACATCTTGATTTTCAGATTTCATACATAGAGTGGCAGGTCTGTTAGCCAATCATTCTGCCGAAGACCTAAAAAGCTAAAAAAAATGGTATTCTTTACCTATTATCCTTTGTGAACTGTACAAAGATTTTGGCAGTAATACTCATTTTGTTAAAGTGTATCTGCAAAGAGAAATGCCTCTTTCTTGATTATGAGCAAGTTTGGGAACAAAAGAACAAGCACTTGTTTGAGAATATTCTTGAATCTGAGAAACGTTTTCCCCCTATGCACCAAAAGTGTGATGGTATCAAAAGTTTTTAGCATTGATGAGCATAAGTGGTTTTGAAGTTTAAAGTTTGCCTTGATAAACAGATAATTTGGCCTTTTCTATCTTTGATTTTCATTCAGAAAGGCTGTGTTGAGATTGTTTCTTTTAGACTGAATTTGGGGGGGGGGGGGGGGACCTTTAAAGTTGCCTGGTAATGTAACTTCAGCCCATGATGTGCAAGTTTTCATAGTATCTAGGAGCAGTTTTCAACCACCTAATTTTGATGTGTATGATTCTTGCTAAAAGTTATATAACATTGAAGAATAGTGCAGCATGTAATTTAAAAAATTACCATATCTAGACAACAAACCTTTTTTGCCTTTCACTGTCGTACTTTTAGAAAGTCATGAACATTTAATTATTTATAAACATTCTATGTACTAATTCTTAATAAATTTTGCATCAGTTTTTGTTCACTTTTGCTATAGTATGAATTTTTGCCTCTATAATTTTATGTCAAATTATGTTACTCATTTTGGGTATTAAGAGAAAAGCATCTCTGGTCGGCTTTTGATAAGAGGTGCTGTGCTGAATAAAACAATAGCTTGTACAATTGCCAATGTACTTCTTGTGACTTTTGAAGTGTGTCATAAATGTAAGATCACATGTTTGTGTTGTATTGTACAAGTAGTACTGTTTGCATATTGCACCTTGCTGAGCAAGGTTAGAAGGAAAGGGCTCTCTAAAATTTTACTTTGTGTAGAATAAGTGCTATCGTCTGATTAGTGTGGATTTTTTGAAACATAAAGGCTTGGCAAGAGGCTTAGTGCGACAAATGTTTTGAAAGGAAGTAAAAGAAGTAAAAGGTTTTCTCATAGACAGGATCACTCTACTTTTCTCTTTTGTCAAGTATTTTTTAGACCAATCCTTTTTAATACCATTTCGGCCTGTGGTCCATTGCATTTGGCTCTTGCTCTAAGATGAAAGAGTCACTCTGTCCTCTTGCTGTGTCTGATTGCACTTACTTGGCTGAATGACCTTTTGTGAGTCATATTGAATTTGAGTTTTCAAATAGCATTGTTTGTTGTGTCTGAGTAATTTATTTTTTTTCTTTGAGTGTAGTTGTTTCATTTTATATATATATATATATATTGTTGGTGTTTTAGTTATTTTCCTTTTTTATATATACTGATTTTTATTATTTTTTTGGAATATATTTTTTAAAAGAAAAAATCATTGTATGTTTTCTTAACCATTCTGGAAATGAGCGTAAATTGTATTTCTTGTGGGGTTCTTAATTATGACATCCAAGAATCTTTTGTGTCAGCTTAAAAAAAAAGAATTACACATGTGTGTTTTATTATTTCATTTTGGTTCTTTTTCCCCCCCTTTTTCTCTCTGCCCCCTCTGCTTGTGCCTGCACTTGGAAATGGCAGTCACAAAGAGTGAACGAGGTTCAGAAGGCTGGGGAAGAGATGGTGAAGGAGTTTGAGGAGAAGTCAGAGATAAAACTCTCACAGAAAATGAGCACATACGAAGAAAATCGACAGAATCAATTGAAGAGTATGCTTGCTAAGTTGAAGGAACATGTGAGTTGAAGTTCCTTGTTTTTTGCCAGGGTTACTTGATATTTAATTATTGCTTCCTATGTTGCTTTGTTTCTTATGAGTCAAATTGTTTTATTTGAGCTATATTCGCCCCAGACTACATTTTAAATGTTCGGGCTAATAGAAATGTGAGAACTCTATTTGCCTTAAATTTATCTCAGCACAAAGAGAATGATACTTGGCTGGAATCTGATATTAAGATTTAAAAAATAAGGGTTTTTTGTTTGTAGTTTTCCCCTTCCATAGACAAAAAGCTGACGTTTTACTCCGATATATATAGGCCTACATGAATTATGCAAGTCTTTAAAGATGAAACAATTTCAGTGGTTTCCAAAGAAGCCAATGCATTACTGCAATACACACTTTAGGTGAGGAACCATAGTTTGCCCTTCCCTGCTTTAAACCTGTTTAAATTTCTTTCTGTATTAGATTTATGTATTTAATTCTGTAGTAGGATCTTTTGTTGTAACGAAGATATTTGATCTGTGAGATTTTCGTGACTTCCGTTATTTGTCATTTCATTTACAGCTTCTGACTGTATAATTATTTAAGAGTCTTTGCTATTGGACATGTAATTTCTTAAAAGAAAAATACAAGGTCTACCGTTGACACTTTTTGTGTCCTTGTTTTTCCCCACTTTCTGACCCTCGAGGAGAGGGAAGGATTCTTTGTACAATGCTTGCCTAGAATTTTGCGCTGAGCTTTTGGGCTGCTGAAGTCTTTTTTTGTAAACAATGGCTCTAGCAGTGGCTTCACAATTATAGCATGCAGCCCCTTGTCTGTTGTTGCTACACACTGAGTTCAGACTGTACCCTCTTGTGGCTGTTACTTGCTTGCTCTTTCATCTGGACTTTCTTTTCCTGTTTTTTTATTTGTTTCTAAACGAATCTGAAATTTATTTGTTTTGTGTGATTATTGTGCTTGTTCAGTTTAGTCTCTAGCATGTTTTCAGGCCCTATATTTTACGGGGACTTACCGTGTCAAAATCTAAGAATTGAATTTCATGTCCTCTTGTCCTAAAGTCTCTGGTGGTGTATGTCATTATTATTTTAGTGCTAAGTTTCAACTTTATAGATGGATTTGAGAAAAAGACAAGTCATCTGTGCCAACAGTTCTAAGTCAATAGTTGTTGGGGTTTTTTGACACAATGGTTGGACAGATTTTTGTTTGAGAAAAAGTTTTCATAAAACAAAATCAGAAAAACTGCCGAACTTATGTGTTACAATGCTGGCTGCTGCTGATAATTTCTGCAGATAAATGCAGCATGATTTTGTGCAGTATATTATGTCTGAGCATGTTGGATATAATGAACTGCATCCAGCTTTACTTGTATGAATGTGCAAGTGTGAAAAAAGCCCACATGATTATGCTGCTATATGGGAGTGGCTTGTGGTTGCCCTTGGAAAGTTTATTTATGTTAATTGGACTTGGTTTCTGTCTCAACCCCATTGCCCTTTTTCTCTAGTCTTTTATCCATGCTGCTAGATGAGCTGAATAGTATTTGGTTTCCTGTTAGACACAGCTATAATTGTTACCGACTCAGGAACTGATGTTGTTGGGGAAGGGGGGTAATTCGACATTTTTTCTCAGAGGTTTTTTTCTACAATTCTATTTTTGTGTGATACATTGTTCAAGGAGGATGACAGTCTGCCTTGCACAGGTTGTTTTCATGGGAGTTGTGTGCCTGTGCACTTTGTTTTTCTCTGTTTTTATTTGATAGATGGAAGGGTCTAGTGATACTTTCCTTTTTACTAAGAAGGGTCTACTGGTGATGTGATGGGCATTTTGTACCTGCATACTTTTTTTGGTTTGTTTGTGTGTGTGATTAATTAAATATGTGAGGCAGCGTGGTGAAATTAGGTGCTCGTCAAAATAATGGAAGTAAAAAAAAACTGGCATTTTTTGCAGCGTGTTAGGAAGAAAATATTGATTAACTCATTCGCTACGTATTACTTTCGGCTTGTGGACAAATTTTTTTAGGGAGGGCGGAATGAGATGATGACTAGTGCGTTCAAAGGTTTTTGGGGCTACAAATTCAAATAAATATCAACAAATTAATTATTATATATCAAAATTTTCTGTATGGTTTGTCGAATACATCTGTAATATTTATTAATGTATTTTCCAACTTTGGTTCCTGTAAGAGGCGATTATGCAACACACTTTTGATTGGATGCTGATAAAATTGGAAAATAAAAAATTAATAATCTTTGCGGAAAGTCAAAAAATATTTGCACCTAGTCAAATGGTACATCAAAATAAACATAAATTAATATAGAATCAGAAAATATTGAAAAATTTGCAGTTATTTGCATACATTCCACAATATTTTTACATTTGGATCATAACATCCGATATTGAAAAAAAAAAAAAAATTTTGTAGTGTTGAAAAAAGGATCACAAACAGAAAAAAACACTCATATCTTATATGGAATTATTCAGAATTGCATTTGGAATAAACCTATACATGTCTTGACTGGCCCTTTTTGTGTAATTTCACTAAAAAGTAATGATTTGGGGTAGAAAAAAAAATATTTTGACAATTTAGATCTATACCTAGATCTAGCACTCAAAAATATTGATTTCTCAATAACAGTGCCTTTAGTGAGCAAAATAATTATACGTTTTGTGGTGTAAAAGTACTAAGACTGGTGTCTGGACTATAATTAACTACGAAATCGCGTTTCAAAACTGAATCTCAACTTCCGATTTTCGGTGGAAACGCTTGACCTGGAAGTCAATGTTATATTATAACATTTTGACATGAATACGTGGATTGAAATAAAAATCTAAGCTAGAATTATAGGTCGGTTCTCGAGCTTTCGGGGGCGGCTTGGCGTACGGAAGACACTTTCGCCGCGCCGTTGCCCACGGCTCGGTGTAGCGAATGAGTTAAAAACATAAAAGTAAAAGATGTCAATTTTCAGTTTCCGCGGACTCTCAAGCTAAGGCGATAACTCAACTTTCTCGCTAATTTTACCTCTGAAACTAGGCGACCTCCACCTCCTTCAATCACAAATATATCTTGATTGTATCCAAGTTAAAATGACATAAAAGCAAGGAAAATGAACAGGCTTTAAGATAATACCAATAACTCCATATGCCCCAAAATTGACGAGTGCCTGATTCCACCGCGTCATGACACATGGATTATTTTATCTTGCTGTGTCTGTTATTCTGCCTCCTGCCTCCTGTGTTGTGGTTACTAAGCCCCCTCATTGCCAGAGTACTTAACCTGGGATTTCCAAGGGGTAAATAAGTCAAGTTGAACTATTGCTACTAAAATGCTAACTACTCATTTGTGCACAATAGTAAGTATGGCCATGAAACTGAACAGGATGGTAGGAAAATTATTTTAGCTGCCCTGTAAAATTGTTATGGCTATGGTAATGTTTCTCTTTTTGACCATGTCTAGAATTTATTACCTTTAGGGCATGAAACTCTCATTAACGGAGCAGTCTACCGGTAAAATCAGCAAAAGCAGAAAAGTTAATTTTTTAATTTGTTTCATATTTACAAATGTTGCAGGCCTGTTTACTATTTAATCCTGTACCTTTGCTGAAATTTTGATCATCGAAAGTAATTTTACTGAGGGAAAAAATGGGGACTGGCTTAAGTTCTATCAAAGCGCAAAGGTCATCATTTGAAATCAATACAAAATTCATCCTAGTAATTTTTTTTTTTCACTTGATTTTTGCATGTTTTTTGTCTAGTGGGTGTTCGATTTCTTTTTGCGAGAAGTGCACTTACTTATTCGTGGCCTGTTTGACATATCTGATGGCCCCATTGGTTTTTCTGACACTGCTGGATTTAGATAATAGATCACCATCATGTGTTACACCAGTTCCGCTAGCCACTCCTAGCGTGCGTTTGTGTTTGGAAGTCTAGATTTTCAAGAAAGTACAACATTATATAGTGACTTTTTTTATCCACTCTGTTAGCCTTCGAAGTCTCATTATCTCTTCTGTAATGCCTAGTTGTTTGTTGGTAGTGAAAAACTTATCCTCAGTAATTTCATCAAAGGTACAGTAGAGACAGTGTAAGCTGAAAACAGCAGTGAACTGAAAGAAAACGAAATTCCCCATTTAAGAAAGAAAATTGGGTGGGGGAGGGGTGGTTTTTGTAAGAAATCTTATCGATTGGCCAAAAAAAAACCCCTCTCATTTCTAAACCAAAAAGAATTTCAAGGGATGTTTTCTAAATTTTCACAAGCAACCCTCAAGTAATGCAAATTATTAAGGCATAATTAAAAAAAATATGCACTTCAAGATAGCAAAACAAAAGAAAGAGAGACTAGGACACACTTTGTGTTGATTGCAGGCTAGGGAGAGGCATTGCCAGTATACTGTTTGCCTTCTTGTGTCACACATCATTATGTATGGGATAGCGAGTGGACATTGGCCCTATGATCTTTGGTTAGTCATGGACTATTGCCTCAGCACAGCTAGTTCTCATAGGCCCCCACTCATGAGCATGTGACTGCACATGGTGTATTTCTTAACATCACTGGCATTGGGATTTCTTTTTCATTTTTCTTGTCTACTTTTCATCTGTTCTGTGTGAGCGTTCGGCAGATTAAGCAATCTGATAATGTCGAAGAGAAATCACAATAATACAATATATGCACGCATAGCCTGCCACTCAAATTGCAGTTCTTGAAGTAGCTGAAGTAAAACTTTCAAAAAGTGAAACACCTCTAATCTTCGGCACTTATATGACCTTATTGTGTTGCAAGTGCCGTAAAACTCTTTACTGAACTAAAAAGTGAAATTTTCTTCTAGGCATGGTATTCCCAACTGTACAAGTTCAACACTCATTTTTATTTAAGCAGCCCTCTTTAAACTGAAAACGTGGCTCTGTCCTAGAAATTCCAACTGACCTGGACCGCCGGTGGTTGGCGGGTGCTCTGGTGTTGTTTGCTCCTTCTTTCCTATTAAACATCTATCGTCCTTTTCTCCCCTCCTTCTATTTTATGTTTATTACTCTCTCGTAACACCTCTAATCTTCTGCACTTATATGACCTTATTGTGTTGCAAGTGCCGTAAAACTCTTACTAAAACTAAACCTGACCTGGTCCCAAAGATTTCAGTTTAAGCAGCCTCAGCTGTATTTTTTAAAATTTTTAGTTGTGATTTAAGGAGGCAGCCATGGATAGCTCCTTCTTTATTGCTCTTGTTTTTTTTGCCCGATTGTCTGGTATTGTCCCGGCACAAGTTGGCTGTTATAATGTCGATGTGCATCTTGAACTTGGAAATGAAGAGGTGGGGGGGGGGGGGTAATTTGAAGACAATCACCTGTATGAGCAGCCAGTTTTCGCTCCAAAAGCCCTCTGGTTTGTTGGGTTATTGAAAAAATTATTATAATTGCATTGTGTGAGATGGCTACTTTTTCCTCCACGTAAAGCCCTCTGGGTTGTTGGGTTATTGAAAAAATTATTATAATTGCATTGTGTGAGATGGCTACTTTTTCCTCCACATAATAGGTGGCTGTCTTAGACATTTTTTACCGTGTCTTGTCCCAGATGTGTTTCAGAGGAGGGATAAGAGCACTCACTGTTTGGGGAATTTCCAACATTTAGTGTTCAGGATATTTTTCTTGGAGTTTCACGGACCTAGAGCTTTCTATGACTCGGGTTGAGAGTCATATAATATACAACACAACTGCTTGTTTCTACTTTTTGTGAATTTGGTCATAGATATGCTGTAGTTTTTAGTAATTGTTAATGTTGTATGTTCAGTGTCTTGGCTTTATATTTGTGATAAAAATCATGATGCACATGGAGGGGAGGGGGAGGGGGGTTATGGCATAGTTTGTGTTTTCATTAGCAAAAAGTATTGTCCATTTCGTGTCTAATATTTTCAGTAAATGTACCAATGTTGTTTGGCTGTGTGCATGAGGAGGAAGGGTTATTCTCACTTTGTAAATGGCCATTCACTATGAATCATCCCTCAGGTTCACACCATATGCACACATCTCCTTTCCATATCATTTTTAAGCTGATCTCATTCCTTCCCCCCTTTAAAACTGGTAGATGTACTCTTTGTGTGGGTGGGTGGTTGGTGGGTGCTTTGGTGTGGTTTGCTCCTCTTTCCCATTAAATATCCATTGTCCTTATCTCTCTTCCTCTTCTTTGTGTTTTTACTCTAGTAGTAACCTCTAATCTTTGGAACCTATATATATAACCTATTTGTATAAAAAAGGCTGTAAAATTCTTACTTAAACCTCAAACTAATTATTTCTGCTTTGGTTTCCCTCCTCTCTTCAGGCCAGCCACATCAATGAAGTGTGTACTGCCAGTGAGAACAGAGGCCCATCTACTGATGAGCTGCAGGAACAACTGGTGCAGAAGATGGAAAATGCTTTGAAGAACCGCGAGGAGCAGCTGAGAAGCTTGCAGGAAAGACTTGCAGAGCATGTAGGTTATAGTTAGATTATTCCTGGTGTAGAATGCGTCATTTTATGCTACTAGTCTGAAGTATGTTGTTTTTTTACAGTCAGTTTATATTCATCTAAGTTACACTGACCATTATTTTTTCTTGAATTAGTAATGTAATACTTTACTGAACTTTTACTGAAAACAGTGTCATTTTATTTTGAGAAATTTATAAATTATTAACAATTGGAAAGAATGCTTTCGTAGAATGTGATACGCCATTTCCTGTTTTTGTAAGACTTATCAACTTGACAGTTTTAACTTTTACCAGTATTAAACTTACTTCTTGGTTTGTGTTTTTGCTGAGAGGGGGGGGGGGGGGGGGTGTTGTTGTTTTTTTTTCGGTTCCTATCCACAGCTTGAAAATAATCAGTGTCTGCGGTATTACATTTAAACTTTTGTATTACAATTGCTGTAAATTTTTCGTACTTAGACTAAAAACTAAACGTGTCTCTTGGTGTGCAGCACTACATTAATCTTTCATCATGCCTTTTTCTGAAGTAGTGCAGTGGTGTGTGTGTGTGCATATTTTATGCTAAGTGCAAGATTTTTGGATTCACAAATTATGGAACATTATTGAGGATTTTGGTAGACAGAAGTAGGCCCACCACCCCTACCTGTTTTTGACCTCTTTTCTGCTGGCAGCATGTTTATGTTGTCATTTGAGCCGGATGCAGTCCTGCATCTGTCAGAAATATGACCCTTTTCTATCAATTTATCCAGCCATTTAGGCTACCTCCCTCCCTCCTGAAGCCCAGATGCCTGAGCTGTTAAGTCAGATGTTTAAACATAAAGACAAAAGGTGTTGACAACAAAGTGACTAGTAGCATAAGAGGACAGGGATTTCATGCTTCTATGGCCTCCAAGATCTGCTCCTGAAACTTGGGGTGTGTTGAACTAGGAGGTTAAATGGTTGCCTCTTTTAAGTGGCCACAGTAATATTAGTAATAATGAAAATCTGACCCCTTTGTGGACATTCTGTTAGCTCAGTCGGTATCATGCTGGGCTACAGTCATGCATCTGAAACAGGGTTTCTTGAACAAGAGTTGTTTGAGGAGTTTCAAAGGATCTCCTCTCTTCTCCCCCCCCCCCCCCCCCTTTGTGGTGCACAATTTTGCCAATGGAGTATGCATAAACCAAAATTTGCGGAGCAGCCGATTTTAGGATTTTATTTTTCAATTTACCGCTGTTTTGGGATTAATAAACTTCTTTTTTTCAGCCAACTCCAGTGTAATTTTTTCCTCCATTTAAGATATATTGCCTACTTATTTTGCATCTCTTCGGAGTAGCAATTTGCCTTTATGTTTAAAATATGGTGCCATTTTCTTTTGTACCACAGGAAAGTCGTATCAAGGAAGTCCAGAAAAAGAAAATCACTTCTTCTGGGGATGGTACAGAGAAACAGGAATAGACTAATCACAAGAAGTAGTGGTTGGTGGAATAGGAATTTTTCGACAGATACAATCAAGAAAGCGCTGATGACAGCATTTAAAGAAAAATCAAATACATTGACTTTTGACTTTGTCCACACTTTTTGTATCGGGGCTAGCAAATTGTCATGAGTAAGGTGTGTCACGTACTTTTACTACATTGGACCATTATGTCTAGACTCTATCCCTCGGAACATTTTATTTTACCTCATTTACTCATCTTTATTCTTTATGCCCTTTTTCTTTTCAAAATTCTTTCTCTTTAACTTCCTCAATCTCTTAAAGATGTTTGCTGCATTTCTTTTTGTTCTGTCTTAACAATTTTGAAGCAAAGATTGTATCTGAAGAGTTATGCCACATTCTAATATTGCTGACACTGCCCTCATTTTAGTCTTAGTTAATAGTTCAAATCAACTAGATAACTTGCATTATGTTTATAGAGAATATCTATATGTGGACATGATGGTGCGAGTGATTACTCACTTTATTATAATTGTCATGATAAATTTACAGAAGTCTAGCTTAGGCAGGCTATAAATCTGAAGTATCAACAGTTTTCTATAATATGAACCATTTGCCTTTTGGTCACTCCTCAGTTACTGGCTGAAAGTCTGTTGAAATCTTATTTAGAAATGAGTACTGTGGCATTTCGAGCTGGTCTGAAGTTAAAAGACATTTTTTTCCCTATGATGATGATATCTCCAGTTTGAAAAGTAAACGAGTCTTTCATCATGCAGTAGGCCTACTGATGAGCAGATGTGAAATGCTAAACCGGATGTAGAAAGAAGTCTGGTGCGAAAGGGTTTCTAATCTTTTATATCCTGAATAAATATTTAAAAAAGCTAGTAGTGCAAGCGCATTGTCGTTGTAAAATGCTCTAAGGCAATGGTTTAAGAAGACTTGCCATGTTTTTGTAGCTTTCTTTATAGATTAGTGTGGCCTGGTAGTTCCTATGAGTTGCAGTTCACAGCTAGAGAGTAACATCTCAAATTTGCCGTGAGTGCTTCCTGTGTATGGCCGCCAAAGTACACAAGGGAGAACTGTGTAAAATTTGCCATTATCACAGTTCATTTTTATAACATACTCATTGTATCATCTACTTACACATCAAGTGCATTGTTCTGTTTGTGGAAAATAAGCATATTATGTTTAAACTGCATCTTATCCTAAGAATGTGTGTGATTGTTTCATTAAAAGGCCCCTTGTGGTTTGCTGAAATCAGCATTGTGTGCTTTGGTTGTGCGTTCATTCACGCAATGAGTCCTGATAGGAAAAGAATAATTTTCCCACTTTAATGTCATAGGCCTTGTCTATTGTTTTGTAAGTACAAATTTTCTCCCCACACGCTTTGAGCAAGCCTAAAGAAGATCTTCAGTGTAAAATTGTGTGATAATGCTGTGCGCGTCAGACAAACCTTGTGGCCTTCAGTGAGTCTCCTTTCTGACATAAATGTGGTCCTTATTGACTTTTGCTAAATTTAAGTTTAGTCTAGAGTTTTGGGTGCTAAGATGGCTTCAAGCCCTGAATTATTGCTCTTTTTTTAAAGCCTCCATTTTCTGCCCAACATTTTCATTTTTGTTGACACACAGTGTCCTGTTCTAGAACAAATAAAAAATTTCCTCATTTTTTCCCCTCAGTACTCATTAGAAGGAACAATTTTTTATTCCATAACGTCTTACTATTGTGAGAAATTTTATTTTCCTTGACAATCTGAATCTGAACCGGACATTATATGCTTGACAGAAACAAATTTCATTATACTTACAATTATATTTTTGTTCTTCATATATACTGATCATTGCCTTAATGCTTTCTTACCATTTTTACATCATTATTCTTTTGTTTGTGGTAAGATTTGTATTTAATGATAGATTTGTGCATAAGTAGGTGTGTGTAATGTCTGAAATTGCATAAAAGCATGTTCATCGTATCTATCGGGTGTTCTAGTTGGCCGCAGAGAATTTGGTTTCATAAGTGAAAAATCAACAATCCAACGTTGAGAGCAGATGTGTCAAAGATGCAGTCATGTCCACCCAGCAATAACTTCCTTTGTAATGCAAAAAGTTTTGAGGAGATGGAGGGGAGGGGGGGTGATTCCCTCTGTATCATTCTTAATCTGCCGAGGTTACACGGGTGGGTGGGAGGTAATCTTTTTGCCACTGCTGGTTGCTGCTGATCTCTGCCTCACAGTTGTGTTGTCACAGTCTTTGTTCCGTCTGTAAATCCTGATCACAAGATGAGATCAGAAACTCTTGTGTGAGAGGCTTGTCAAGTCGTACACATCTTTGGGTTTGTGTGTGTGAGGCCTAAATTGTGGGTGACTTTTTTAAAAAAATTCCGCTGATTGTTCTCAATGTGCTTTCTGTGTTGAAGAAAGTCCTAGGTTGTGTTGCTCTGCTCTACCCCTCCTCCTTCTTCGTGTAATTCTATTCTAGTTGTGTGGGTTTGTTTCCCTGTGGATGTACAAACCTTTTTAAAAAAAACAAAACAATGATCCAACTTCCGTGGCCCCTTTCATGCTTTTCATATTTTGCTGAAAATATTACCTATTGCCATACTCATCAGCTATGCATGGTTACTTTTTTATTGCTTTTTCCCATTTTGTGCTTTTCAGCACATTGCAATGTCAAATTAAGTTGATTTTTTTTTTTTTCTTTTTTTACTTTATACACACGTCTTCGGCCCCGATTTGCAAAGTCAACCGCAAGTATTCCGCTGCCTTTTTTGGGTGCAATTTCTATTGTGTTCATTTAGTACCAAGTATTTTTAAGATATGGACATTAGCTGTTACTACAGTGTTTGCTGTTTTACATTGTCAAACCTTGTATATATGAGTACTTAATCAAGTTTTATGTCTCTTACTACGCACCGAAAAAAATAACGTTCATTATTAAAAGCATCATACTCTTCATACTGTTTGTCATGTATGTTCCTATGTAGTTTTTGTGCTGTAAATCAAGTTGGTCTCTCTCCATCCCTCCATCTCTCTCGCTTCCACCAACAATAAGTTGAAGTTGGAATTTACTAAGAATTCAAGTTAAATTTTGTTTAAGACTTTCTTGTTCCTTTGATTTTAGATTTGCATGGACACTCACAGTTCACTTTTTATAGCAGGGTCTGACTTTTCGATAACTCACCTGTCCAGCTAGTATTTTCCATTTTGCTTGCTCTTCAATATGATCTACCAACAGCAAGCCAAAGAGTGCTTCCAACCTTGCACAGGCTCTTTTCTCAAATTTTCATCACTTCTCCCAGATGGGAATGTGGATGGTTCCAGTCTAAGACAGTGGAGGATCGTGTTAGTATGTTGAGTGCCTGTAAAATGGCTGCTTGCCTTTATGCATCCCCAGAAGCTGAGAATGTTGCAGGTTCTGGTGGGGGTAATAATGGCATTCAGTCTACTGTTCAGAAGGAATATATGCAGTGCAAATGCAGTCTGTAATTGTTGTTTGTATTCCAAGTCTCGAAACCTTCATTACTTAACAAAGGCACTGTTCACAGGCCCTTTATTTGATGATGCGGTTGCGAGCCCTATAAAACTTTTACCAAACCAAACCAAACCTTTTACTTTTAATTTTCTTGTCAAGTTTGGTCAAAGATTTCTAGGTGTGCTGCAATTCTGACTTTGTGCTGGTCAGTTTTTTGCCTGTTAGATATAATGGTACGGATGTTTACTCTTGATATGGAATGTCTCAACTGGCACAGGCTGTCTTGTCTTGACCTGCCACTGATCAGACCATGTCCTGACCTCATGATCCGTCTCAGTAGATGGGGGGTCAGGTCTGTCAGTGGTGCGACTATTGGACGTGTGCCCTTAGTGAACTGTGAGAAGAACTACCTTTATATTATCAACAAAGTCAAACTCAAATAGGCTAGCATGATACCTCATCATTATTAGGTAGAGAGAGAAGTTTAAGATATCAACTCTTGAAGGCTAATAATAAAATCAGTTAGATTTTAATTCAATTGTGGGGTTTTATTAAGGTGTTATTGTCTGTTTCTTCTAGCTCTGTTTCTTTTGCATTGGAACACTGAGAGACCTTGTATTTTCTCGTACTTACTTCTTCTGATACGTAAGCTAGTAACAATATAATCATCATACTCATAATACATGTTTTGTCTGCTTGTTCTCGGTCATTCATAAACTTGTGTGGTTTTTACCTTCCAGATTTATCTCTTTGTCTACTAGGAATTAATTACGCATTGCATGCATCGTATTATGCACTATTGTTCACATTGTCGGGACCAGTTTATGCTGCTTGCATCGAGTTTGTTTCAATTCACAAAAGCTGTACTACTTAATTTAGTGTTATGGTATTATTTTGTTGTTACCAGGGAAAGCAGATTTTAAAGAATGGTGTCTTTATTGCTGTTAAGATAAAAGAGTGAGAAGTTTCAGCTGGAGAAACTGCCCACAAGCTTTTGATAGCCATTGAGTTGTGTTTTTGTGTTTGCCTCCGCTCTAATGATGCCGCAACAAACGCGTACATGTATTCTTTGTGTTACTCAATAAATTTATCGCAAAGCCTGTTCTGACTTGTTTCCTTCATTGTTTGACTCCATTTCTATACAAGTGAAGGGTTTCATGGCAAAATGCACTAGTCTGGCATGCACATAGTAAAATCAGGGGATGTGGCAATCTTTTTGTTGCATGCATACAAATTTTGTTATGTATTGTACAATCAAACCTCGTTATACCGCCACCCTTGGGACGGGCATGAAGTTGGTGAAAAGCAGGGCTGGGGATTCAACAGGGTTCTTCTGTTGTACAGCCCCGACTGCCCAATGGCAAGGAACATGATTCTGCTGTGCGATCTGTGTTTGAAAAGTGTCCTTTTCTTGGTGATACATTATACCGAGAGTTTTCTCTTTCTCGCGGGAGAAAGATTGAGGAGCAACCAGTGGGTGTTGTGTGCAGCTCTGGTGGTCAGTTTGCTGGCAGTATTGTGGGGTAAATTTGCATTAGTAGTTAAATAAAGACCGTATAAATCAGACAGTTGGCGGTGTGAAGGCGAAAATACTGTTTATGTATGGTATAGGCATTCCTTTTGGTTCACTGGCAAAACCTGGCAGTACAACAGGGGGCGGTACAGTGAGGTTTGACTGTGGTTGTATGTGTTTTAAATACATGATACATTTCGTGACCTCAGTACTTTCTTGTCGTATCTCCATTTTTTTCAACAGTGAAAACAGTTCATAACAAGGAGTGAGCTTAAGAAGAAGTCACATTTTCAATGTTTTAAAAAATGGAGATACGACAAGAAAGCACTGGGGTTGCGATATGTACAAACAACTGCATATAATATATCCAAGTTTCTTGAATGAGCATGTTGCCTCTAAACTTGCTTGGATGAACCATGACTTACTACTCTACTTCTTGTTATCTTTCATTTGTCTGTGGTTAAACGGGATAAAAACAAAGAAATAATATGTAGTTCTGTATGATCCTCTCAGGTCATTGCATGTGGGTCTAAAACTAAAAGTAAAGGTTGGATGGCCAACAGAATCTCAACAACCTTTAGAGGGTGGTTGGCAGGTGCTCTGGTGTGGTTTGCTCCTCTCCTGTCGAACATGTCATCCTTAATCTCTCCTTTCTTTTTTGTGTTTATTACTCTCTTGTAACACTAATCTTCAGCTCTTAACTGACTTATATATGACCTTATTGTGTTGCAAGTGCCGTAAAACTTACTAAAATATAAAAGAAAACAAAAACACCCATAAATGAAGGCTTCTGCAAAATAAGGTTCTAAGTTATACATGTATCTAACAGGTTTCTTTAAATGTTACCCTATAGCGAATCAAAAAGGTAATGGAGGTTACAGCATAGGCCTACACCTAAAACATTTTTTAAAAGTTGACCAATTTTCGTCAACACCACACTTTAAGTTTAACGTATCTTCGTGTGACTCCTGAGTGATCAAGTAAGCCATCTTCTCTTTTTCGTATTTGTATTGATACTTGTCAGTGTAAAGGTGGCGCAGACAGGAAGCGCTACATTTCATCTTTATATATATATATAATATAAAGGCTCCCTGGAAATGTATCTGAAAAAATTTAAACATTAATCATTTACTGTATTATTTATTGTCGGGAGATGGTGTGTTCATCATGATAAAGAAACTTCTTAAAAAATGAAATTATGGGACAAATTAGAGAGAAATGTATTTATTTTTGTTTGGTCACTGGTCTAAAGGGGAGCCATGCAAAGTTTCATTCTCGTTGGCTGAACAAATGAGCTAGAATTTTTTTTTACAACTCGGACATTCGATAGTGGACAAGCCAACTAAAAAAGCAGAGGGCTAATGAACAAGCTAGGAAGGATGGCCCAGGATAGAGATAAATGGAGGAAGGAGCTTGTATGTGGCCTATACCCTGCCAGGGGTGAAAGTACTGAAAGGCATTGATGATGATGATGATGATGAATGCAAGGAAGAAGAAAGGGGAAGCGACTCCTTTCTTACTATTCAGATCAGCAGATTGATGCTTGGCCTTGTGTAACTTAGTATTTTAACCAATTTTTATTTTTAGTCATAGAAAACACGTGCTGCCAACTTTTTGGAAGGATGAAAAATAGGAAAACCTAAGGATGTTTAAAAAAAAATCTAAATAAATTCCTTGTCGAAATGGCCGCGAAACCTTATGCAGCCTGAGATGAATGCCTCGACCAAACTGAATGAAGAACAAGGGAATTTGTTACAGTTCCCATGAAAAGTCCCCATTAAGCTTTAGAACAAACAAGAATAAATAACAAAGCATGGAATTGTACAACAGCTGCGTTTTATTTTCTATAGAGATCATCTAAAAACTGAATAGACGGCAAAACAACACAAAATAAAAACGGGACGTTCCCATTGAAGGGTGGTTGGCAGCTTCCCAGCTCCTCGTCTCCCCGTTCCGCATAACAAAGCCAGTCTCTCACTCTCACTAGGCTAGAGATATCTTTTCTATGGGAGTGACCACATTTTCGCCATTGTTCAAAACACAAAAGAAACGGGGTACATCGACTGGGCCTGGCGGGATAGCGAATACCTCGTCTTAATGGAAATGACCTTGGTTTTGATATATACAGTATTCAGTGTTTGTCGTGTTTTGCAGCTTACAGATTACAAATTACAACAGAATCATGAATGAAATCGAGGGTGTCAAGGAAACCCCGAAGAAAACATAATAATATCACAACTGAAAGAGCTGCGGTTCTGGCCTACCATAGAAAACTGCATTCCCCTCGACGCTTAAGTGACGGCAACAGAGGATGAAAAAGTAAAAGTAAAGTAAGATGAATGAAAATTGACTAGCAGTATGTTGTTTGGAACTGCGCTAGGCCTAGTAACATTTTAAAACAAATACATGTATTCCTCATGAACTCTTCTTGTGTCTGGTCCTTATGATTGTAGACAGTGAACAGGTTCTATCTTTCTTGCCCCTTTGCCTGGATACATCTACAAAGTCTCTAGATATTGTCAAAGATCGTAGGCTACATAACACGATCTTTGATAGGCCCTATTTTAATGTACGTTTCCTTCGATTTATTTCTACTCCATGTTCTCCAAGGCGTGGACGCTAACGTAACATAGGCCTATACCCTATACATGTTTTCTGTGTGTAGAAACCTATGTTTAAAATTACATGTAGTCAGAAAGAAAAAACTGGGGAAAAAATAGCCTAACTTCGTGATGATTCAACAGAGCTAGGCCTACAGAATGAACAACGTACAACTTACACTGTCTAGCTGTATTCGATTAGAGTACCAGACGATGATAGGCTATCAATACACACAATCAATACCACAGACTTTTGCCTCACATTGTAAAATTGGTGAGCTAGAGACTGACAGAAAACACACACACACACACACACACACACACACACACACACACACACACTCAGAGAGAGGGAGAGAGAGAGAGAAGATGAGTTTGAAGCAAACAAGTGGACAGTTAAAAACAATAATATGCATCACATAACCCCCTTCAGAGGCAGAACCCTTCAGAATAAGAAGATCTAGAATCTAGGCATACTCGCGTTAAGTTTATTTTAACAGGTCTCCGCCTAAGAAGATCCCACTGCTTACAATCCCGGGTCGCTTTTAAGATCCAGCTGTTTTAAGAAAACAGATTTTTTACTATACACAAAAGCCACCCTTAATATGATCCCGATCTGATTGACTCTGAAGGTCTACAGTCGGCTAAAATCCCGCATTCTAAATAATAATTTAAGAAAGAAAAAAAAACAACTGTCCGGGCACAGCCGATCAACCAAGAGTGAAAAGTTGAGGTCATTGAACTGCCCGTAGCGTCAAAGACCAGCCTTTCTCGTGAATGTGATCACACAACATAAGCGCTGTATAACTCGATGAAACGGTATGATGTTACGGGATCCGGCTCACACCGAGGTGTGAACTGACCGACGCGTTGGCTTTCCCCAAACATCGCACTCTCATCAGAGCTCGCTCCACCTAAACGGTGCCCTTTGCGGATGGGATCGGGTCGGGTCAGGTCGGGTTGGGGACGATCACCTCACTCGTCGGCTGAAAACAAACGCGTTTGTGTTTTAGGCGACGAGTCGGGCGCGATCGTCCAGTCTTGTGCCACGATAGCCGCTTTGCTCCCTCAATCTGACTAGCAAACCGACCCGACCCGATCCCCCAATGGGCACCACATCACTCGCTGGGTGGGTAAGGCCTTCAAGTTCGCTCCAGGCGGGATCACAATGGACTGTGAACTCAAACAGACCATTGCAGCAGTTCTATATTCCCGAATTAGCGAAACAGACTACAATATAATTGGTGTGGTCACGATAAAGGCGGGGGGACTCAGTCAGACACGGAAAGCTGTAAATTTTGGCCAGGTAAAGGGGAGGGGCAACTGGATAAGCGTAGATGTTGAGACTCACGTTTTGGATAATAAGTGTAAATGGTATGCCTCATACCATTGTGATTGGTCATCAAGGTTGACCACTGTCATAAACCCACCCAGGGGTCACGTCAGTTCATTTTAGAGTAAAGGGAGACCATTTTACGAGCTACGGGCTTAAGAAGATCCCACATTTTCCTTGCCCCCAAGCACCCGGATCTAAGGCGGAGACTACTTTTTTTTTTTTGGGGGGGGGGGGGGGGGGAGGGGGTAAGTGTTTTACGGCGCTCGCAACTGCATAAGGTCATATTAGCGCGCGGGACACATTAAATATTTTCAGTTTGTAGGAAATTTTTAATTTTTGCCCGGATGATGGCTGAAGCCTACTCTTATCGATTTTGGACCACCAAGGGATCCTTAACGTGTACAACTTGCACACGGGACCTCCGAGACTTTTCGCCTTTGTCCGAGAAGGCTAGGTGTAGATCTTTCTTACCATAAGATCAGGGGTATGGCTGAAAGACAGCAGTAAAAAGGAGCCAGGGAGTAGCAGTAGAAAGGTTGCAGAAAGAGTCAGGATTCGAGCCCAGAGGAGGGAGCAAAGGGGGTGAGGGGGTGGGGGAAGACAGTGAACACGAAAGCAGACGACTGAACATTTCTAGAGAGAAGGAAAGGA